TGAAGGAATCAAACTAGAAATAAATCATGTGAAGAAAGCAAGAAGCCAACCTACCATGTAGAGACTGAAACCCACACTACTGCAGGACTATTGGGTCAATGAGGAGATCAAAGAAATTAAAAAATACCTTGAGAAGAATGACAATGACGACAACATGATAAAAGCCATATATGACAAACCCACAGCCAATATTATCCTCAATGGAGAAAAGCTGAAAGCCTTTCCTTTGAGATCAGGAACAAGACAAGGGACACATTATAAGCAGTTGTAAGAGGAAAATATACAGCAATACAGGCTCACATAAAGAAACAAGAAATAAAGAAACAACCTAATGTCACACCTTAAAGAACTGGAAAAAGAACAACAAAATAACCCAAAAGCCAGTAGAAGACAGGAAAAAAATAGAAGTCAAATCAGAAATAATTGAAATACAAGTCAGGAAAACAGTCCAAAAACTCATTGAAACCAATAGCTGGTTCTTCAAGAAAATAAACAAGATAGGCCACTAGCCAGGCTCACAAAGAAAAAAACAGGAGAAAGCACAAATAAACATAATCATAAACGAAAGGGAAACCACAACAGATCCAGCAGAAATCAAAAGAATAATCAGAGAATACTATGAGCAACTATATGCAAACAAGTTTTACAATTTAGCAAAAATGAACAAATTTTTATAACTCTAAAACCACCCAAAGCTAGATAGAGACAGAACAACTAAACAGGCCAATTACAAGCAAGGAAATTGAAGAAGTAATCAAAACCCTCCCTAAAAATAAAAGCCCAGGACCAGATGGATTTACAAATGAATTTTACCGAACATTCAGAAAAGATCTAGTGCCTATACTACACAGACTCATCCAAAAAATTGAAAAAGAAGGAAAACTACCATATACTTTCTATGAAGCCAATATCACACTAATACCAAAACCTAACAAAGAAAACACAAGAAAAGAAAACTTCAGACCAATCTCCCTAATGAACACCGATGCAAAAGTCCTCAACAAAATCTTAAGCCAACAGAATCCAACAATGCAGTAAAAGAATAATATACCATGACCAAGTGGATTTTATCTTGGGAGCGCAAGGATGGTTCATCATCAAAAAATCAATTAATGTAATCCATCACATCAACCAACAAAATAAAAACCACATAATCATATCAATAGATGTGGAGAAAGCATTCAACAAAGTTCAACACCCATTTATGTTTAAGGCCCTAGAAATCATCGCAATAGAAGGAACATACCTCAACATGATAAAAGCCATATATGACAAACCCACAGCCATTATTATCCTCAATGGATAAAAGCTGACAGCCTTTCCTTTGAGATCAGGAACAAGACAAGGGTGTTCAATATCGCCACTGCTCTTCAGCATAACACTGGAAGTTCTAGCCAAAGCAATAAGACAAGAAAAAGACATACAAGGAATCCAAATAGTGAAAGAAGTAAAACTGTCCTTATTTGCAGATGACATGTTAATTTACATGGAAAACCCTAAAAACTCCACAGAAAAATTAATGAAAACCATCAACCAGTTTAGCAGTGTAGCAGGATATAAAATCAACACACAAAAGCCAGGGGCCTCCCTATACACAAACAACCAATCAGAGGAAGCAGAAATTAAAAAAAAAAAAAAAGCATCCCCTTTTCAATTAAAACAAAAATAATCAAATACCTGGGAGTCAACCTAACAAAAGAGTTGTAAAAGACCTTTACAAAGAAAATTACAAAACACTGTTAAAAGAAATACAAGAAGACACCATGAACTGGAAAGACATTCCCTGCTCATGGATTGGGAGAATTAACATCATCAAAATAGCCATCCTGCCAAAAGAGATATACAGATTTAATGCCATCCCCATAAAAATCTCAATGACATTCTTCAAAGAAATAGAAAAAATGGTGATGAGATTCCTGTGGAACAACAAAAGACCTCGAACAGCCAAAACCCTCATGTCTAAGAAAAATCAAAGTGAAGGCATTACAATCCCAAACTTCAAGCTTGTTGGGTCCTTTGCCTGGACAGAACCCCCCCACCTCCCCCACAGAATCATATGCACACTGTTGTGTGGAAACAAAGAATGAGCCATGGGTGCTGGAACAGAAAAACAGGAGGCAGGAAGTGTTCCTGCCTTGTGTTTGCT